CCCCAAAACCCCACTCTAATGATTAAGGCCCCTGTATTATCTAGTATCTAGGACATTTTCAGGTGGGTAGTTACCGTTATAGGAGCCTTATAGAAGGTCTATATACCTTATAGAAGCCTTCAGAAGCCCTACTCCCCACCTGTAGTTTCCTTTAACCCTAAACCCTAAACCCTAAACCCTAAACCCTAAACCCTAAGTTTAGGGTACCCCGAACCATTAAGGCCCCTAAATACATAGTAGATCTTCAACGGGGATCGAGATCAGGCGGAAGCGGAGCAACTCCGGGATGAAGCGCTAAGGCAGCGTCCGGACCTCAGCAGAGCTAGTCTCCAAAAAGGCGAGTCCTTGAAGCCGATAGGTTCAGAGTTTAGGGTTTAGAGTTTAGGGTTTAGGGTTTAGGGTTGCCCCAAATCCCTAAACCCCCAAACTTCAATCCCGCAACTGGGTTTAGGCCGAGCCCGAAACAGCTTAGCCGTCTTAACCCCAAAGAAGACGCCAAAACCGCTAAGCCCTACGTAAACCCTGAAGCCTGAACTCCGTAACAGCAGCCTTTCGCATAGGGGCCCGAAGTTACAAAGCACCCTGCACATACCTAAGCCCTGAGGATTGCATTCTCGCAGGGTTTTGCGGTTTATGGCGTATACCCTAAACCCTAAACCCTATAACCCTATACACCCTAAACCCTAAGCCGTAAAACTCTAAACCCAGTTTCGGGTCTTTGGGTTGTTGGTTGGGCTTCGTATCCACGGACCCTCTTGGTTGCAGCCTCAGCCTTCACTCGCGTAATTACTGTCCTTCACCCCAGAAAATAGGCATCTGTCTCGGGGCTTCTGGAAAGTGCAACCCATGACGGCTGTGGCCAACAAGCCTTGTCGGATTGGGCATCGTTGAAAGATCTCCATGTTCCTTGTTTGGATCTCTGGCAGTAGAGGCCGAACTTGACTTGGGCACATCAACACTCCAAGGTGGCTTCCGAGCTGTCTTCCGCAACATGTGTGCGTCAACCATCAGTGAGCCTGCTTCCTGTGACAGCATTCCCGTGGCACGACTTCATGTCGACTTGCGTAGGGCTGGATCCTAGAAACCCCGCATTGCAAAACCCTAAACCTTAAACCATCAACCCCGAAACCTAAATCCTAAATCCCAAAACTCTAAACCCTAAATCCCAAAATGCTAAACCTTAAATGCCAAAACCCGAAGCCCCGAACCCTACAAACCAAAACCCTAACTCCCAAAACCCTAAACCCTAAACCTGAAGCCCTAAACCCGAAACCCTAAGCCCTAAATGCCAAAACCCGAAACCAAAAACCCTAAGCCCTAAACCCTAAACCCTAAGCCCTAAACCGGAAACCCTAAACCCTACATGCCAAAACCCGAAACCCAAAACCCTAAACCCTAAGCCCCAAACCCAAAGGTCCTAAACCCCAAACCCCTAAGACCTAAACCCAAAGCTCCTAAACCCTTAAATCCTAAACCCCCAAAACCCTAAAACCCGAAGCCCTAAACCCTAAACCCTAAGCCCTAAACCTACACCCTAAATCCTACATCCCAAAAACCCTAAACCCCCAAAACCCTAAAACCCTGAGCTCTAAACCCAAAGCTCCTACACCCTAATCTCTGAACCCTAAACCCTAAAACCCTAAACCCTAAACCCTAAACCCCAAACCCTAAACCCTAAAACCCCAAACCCTAAATGCCAAAACCCCAAAACCCTAAGCAGCGTTGAGTTTCGCTCCAGGCCTGTCCGAAGAGGAGGCCCTCGCAGAGGAAGAGTTGGCAAGACAGCGTGCTGAGCAGGATCGGTTAGGGTTTAGGGTTTAGGGTTTAGGATTTAGGGCTTTAGGGTTTTAGGGTTTGAGTTTAGGGTTTAGGGTTTCGGGTTTGGGGTTTTGGGATTTAGGGTTTGGGGTTTAGGGTTTAGGATTTGGGGTTTTGGGATTTAGGTTTGGGGATATAGGGTTTAGGGTTCAGGGTTGATCCGGGCTCGCAGAGTTTATCTTAGGGTTTAGTAGTTTGGGGTTAAGGGTTTAGGGTTTCGGAAGTTTGGGTCAAGAGGCGGTTAGGGTTGAGTAATTTGGGGTTTAGGGTTTAGGAAGTTTGGGTCAAGAGGCGGTCAGGGTTTAAGTGTCTTCTTGGGTTTAGTAATTTGGACCTTCTTATTGGGTCCCTTTAAGGGGTCTGGGCCCCTAACTTCCTTAACTATAAGGTCCTTGGAAGCATCGGGAAACATACGTGGGTGGTTGTCAAAATTATGGTCCCTTTTTGGGTCTTTATTATAATACGGCACCTATTATTTAGGGTACCCCGAAAGGGACCATAATTTTGACAACTACCCACGTGGACATTCTCCAAGATAACAAGTTCTTTACCAGTTAGAGCCTAGCAGGGGCCTAGCGCGAAACACCCGCCCACCTGTTGCTGAACCGAGTGGCTCCACGCAAGGATTGCGGAAGCCCTAGGACCAACACGGTAGAGCAAACTGGCAAGAGGCACCCAAGCTAAAGTGTTTTGTATAGTCTCAAATCTAAATCAACCGTGTATATATATATATATAGGTACACACACGCTTTAGGAACAGTGCAGAAATGGTGCAGGCGAACGCACGGTTCTGCCTGGCGCAATGCGGTTTAAACAAGCAGCTTGTTGAGTCGAAACCATCTATGGTCTGTATGTATGTAAATGTAAACATACACCTGCTTGTGTAATTATACAAGAGTAAACGACTCCGTCAATTTGTGCAGTGTTATTATTGTGTACACCTATAACCCAAATCGAATAGACCCCCGTTATGCTCTTGGAAGTGCATGAGGCATGAGCCTTGCAGAGCCAGTCAGCTTGAGACTCTGCCGTTCCTTGATCAGGGGTTTAGGATTTAGGGGTTTAGGGTTTAGGGGTTAGGATTTCGGGGTTTAGGGTTTAGGGTATCCGGCCTTGGGGTGTAGGGGTTTAGGGTTTAGGGTTTCCATCACACATCCTTGCAACCATCAAAACCAAGTCATGGGTTTAGCGCTTACGGCTCCGGGGTTTGAGTGTGGCCGCTTGAGATTGAAGGTGTAGGACCCTAAGTGCCCCA